TAATTTTATTTCTGTTCAGGATAAGATAGATCTTTCATTTAGATTATATAAAACCAATCACAGAAATGGAGGTGGGGTGGGTCGGCGGAGCAAATTATATACCGAGTGATAGTGGAAACTAATAGAATCTGAGATCCGAAATAAACAAAGTTGTGTGGTTCGCTTTGAAAACAGAACACTCTGTATAGTCGAATATAATGTTAGTACATATATGGTCCTCAAAGAATTCTTTTTCTCTTTCTGGTAATTACTGAGATACCTCTCGTCAAAAAATAATTCAATTCTCATTTTACAGCAAATAAAATAAGTCAGTGAAATGGAGAAAGGTAGTGGGCGGAGCTGACTATAGCTTTTTCTACAAAGTCTTAGAAACAAGCAGTAGCCCCGCCCACGCACACCCTCTTCATTCTAGTGACTACTCTTTTAATATTGTTCCGTCTTATCATAGCAAGTACTAGGCCCGCCCACCCGCCCTCTATTTTTTAAGAGGATATGTGATTTGCCAAGATCAGTCTTATCTTAGCAAGTTCTAGCCCCGCCTACTCGCGCCCTTCTCACTTAACAACTATTTTTATTTCTATTCTGGATAAGACAGATCTTTCATTTAGATTATATAAAAGCAATCACTGAAATGGAGGTGGGGGGTGGGCGGGGCAAATTATATACTGAGTGGTAATGGAAACTAATAGAATCTGAGATCCGAAAAAAACAAAGTTGTGTGGTTCGCCTTGAAAACAGAACACTCTGTATAGTTGAATATAATTTTAGTATATGGTCCTCAAAGAATTCTTTTTCTCGTTCTGATAATTAATTACTGAGATACCTTCAATTTTTTTTTAGATTTCTGGATTTCTGGATTTCTCGGATTTTCAGTTTTTTTTTTGTTTTTGCTATCTTAGATGTTTCGATCTTTTGATGTTTCAATTTCTCAATTTTTCTCTTTTTTGATATTTTATTTTATATTTCTGGATTTTTCAATTTTCCGGTATTTCAGTGCCACGATTTTTCAATTTTTTGATTCCGCAGTTTTTCAATTTTTGTCGCTCTTAACATTTCAATTTTTCGATTTCTGGATTAATCGACTTTTAGACTTTCGATTTTTTTGATGTTCCCATTTCCAGATTTACCAATTTTTCAGTTTTTCAATCCTTCAATTGTTTGATTTTTTAAAGTTTCGAATTTTTGACTTTTCGATCTCTCGACTTTTCAATTTTTCGATTTCTCGATTTATCGAGATTTCGATGTTTCAGTTTACACATTATTCGATTTTTCAATTTTTAAAATTTCCCGATTTTTCGTTGTTTCAGTTTTGGGATTTTTCGATTTTTTGACTTTTCGACTTTTCAGTATTTTGATTTATGAAATTTTAAATTTTTCGATGTTAAATTTTTCAATTTTTTGATTGTTGTTGTTTCAATTTTCCGACTTTCAAAATTTTCGATAATTTGAATTTTAGATTTTTGGATTTCTGAATTTTCCAGTTTTTCAATTTTTCTATTTATTTAATTTTTCGATTTTTTTAATTTTAGATATTCCAGTTTATTAATGTTTCGAATTTTTCAGTTCCTTTCTTCGATATTTGAATTTTTCAAGTTTTCGAATTTTTCAAATGTTTCGATTTCTTCATCTTTTGATTTTTCGACTTCTCGGTTTTAGATTTTTCAATTTTTCGATTTTTAAAAATTATGATTTTTTGATTCCCGCATTTTTAAATGTTTTAATTCATCAGTTTCTCGATCTTTTAGTTCTCCGATTTTTCTATTTTTCAATTTTTCCAATTTTTAAATTTTACTTTCGATTTTTCGATTCCTGGTTTCTTAATTTCTCGATTTTTCAGTTCTTTTAATTTCTGCAAACTCAAATTTTTCGATCTTTTGATATTTCAATTTCTCGATTTTTCTCTTTTTCGGTATTTTAAATTTTAGATTTATTGTTTTCTCAATTTTCCGCTATTTCAGTTTTACGATTTTTCATTGTCATTGTCCAATTTTTCATTCTCATTGTCCAATAGATAAAATAAGTCAGTGAAATGGAGAAAAGAAGTGGGCGGAGCTGACTTTGACTTTTTTCCACAGTCTTACAACCAAGCAGTAGCCCCGCCCACCCACCCCCTCTTAATTCCAGTGACTACTCTTTTGATGTCGTTCCGTCTTATCTTAACAAGTACTCGTCCCTCCCACCCACCCATTTATTTTTTTAGCAGCTATGTGATTTGCCAAAATCAGTTCTATCATAGCACATGATAGACCCGCCCACTCTCCCTCTCTTTTTTTAGAGGATATGTCATTTGCCATCAGTCTTATCTTAGCAAGTTCTAGCCCCGCCTACTCGCACTCTTCTCACTCTAACAACTAATTTTATTTCTATTCAGTATAAGATACATCTTTCAGTTAGATTACATAAAACCAATCCTGGAAATGAAGGACGGGTGGGTGGGCGGGGTTAATTACATTCTAAGTGGTAGCGGAAACCAATAGAATTTAAGATCCGAAAAAAAAAGATAATCATAACATTCTTTATTATATTATTTGCTATAAGGTTTATTTCTTATTTAAGAATATATAAAAATATAATATATTAAAATATTTTGAGTATTCCGTTTGAAAAAAACTAAGTTGTGTGATTCGCCTTGAAATTAGAACACTCTGTGACTACTCTTAATGTTGTTTAGTCCTATCTTGGCAAGTTTTAGCCCCGCCCACCCACCCTTTTTTTCTCCAAGGAATATCATTTACCAAAGTCAATCTTATCTTAACAAGTACTAGTAAATTTCAGATTTGTAACTGGCGGAAGATTATCTAAAATTTGACTCCAGCGGTTGGTTGATTGAATCAATTTTAAGCATTTTTTGGAAAATTTTTGAAAATTTTGAAATCACATTTCGGGTTTACTGGAACAGATATCGTTACAGCGATTTTGGATTTATAACTAGGAGAAGATTATCTACAATTTGACTCCAATTTTCGGTCCATTAAACAACATTTCACCATTTTTTTGGAAAAATTTTTTAAAATTTTGAATTCACTTTTCGTGTTTATTGCAACAGATATCATAACAGCGATTTCGGATTTGTAATCGGGGGAAGATTATCTACAATTTGACACCAATTTTCGGTTGTTTGAACAAATTTTAAGCATTTTTTTTGGAAAATTTTTGTAAATTTTGATTACACTTTTCGTGCTTATTGGAACAGACATCGTGACGGCGATTTCGGATTTGTAATTGGGGGAAAATTATCTACAATTTGACTCCAATTTTCGGTCGATTGAACCAACTTTAACCATTTTTTTGGAAAATTTTTGAAAATTTTGAATTCACTTTTCGTGTTTATTGCAACAGCTACCACGACGGGGATTTCGGATTTGTAACTGGGGGAAGATTATTTACAATTTGACTCCAATTTCCGGTCGATTAAACCATTTTTAACCATTTTTTTGGAAATTTTTTTAAAATTTTGACTTCACTCTTCGTGGTTATTGCAACAGATGTCATAACGGCAATTTCAGATATGTAATTAGGGGAAGATTATCCACAATTTGGCTCCAATTTTCGGTCAATTGAGTCAATTTTAATAATTTTTTGGAAAATTTTTGAAAATTTTGAGTTCAGTTTTCGTGTTTATTGCAACAGAGATCTTAATGGCGATTTCAGATTTGTAACTGGGGAACGTTTATCTAAAATTTGACACCAATTTGAAGTAATTTTTTGGAAAATTTTTGAAAATTTTGAATTTAGTTTTCGTGGTTATTGCACCATATGTCATAACGGCGAGTTCAGATATGTAATTAGGGAAAGATTATCCACAATTTGGCTCCAATTTTCGGTCGATTGAATCAATTTTAATAATGTTTTTGGAAAATTTTTGAAAAATTTGAATTCACTTTTCGTGTTTATTGCAACAGAGATCTTAACGGCGATTTCAGATTTGTAACTGGGGAACGTTTATCTACAATTTGACAACAATTTTAAGTATTTTTTAGAAAATTTTTGAAAATTTTGAATTTAATTTTCGTGGATATTGCAACAGATGTCATAACGGCAATTTCAGATATGTAATTAGGGGAATATTATCCACAATTTAGCTCCAATTTTCGGTCGATTGAATCAATTTTAATAATGTTTTTGGAAAATTTTTGAAAAATTTGAATTCACTTTTCGTGTTTATTGCAACAGAGATCTTAACGGCGATTTCAGATTTGTAACTGGGGAACGTTTATCTACAATTTGACAACAATTTTAAGTATTTTTTGGAAAATTTTTGAAAATTTTGAATTTAATTTTCGTGGATATTGCAACAGATGTCACAACGGCGGTTTCAGATATGTAATTAGGGGAAGATTATCCACAATTTGACACCAATTTTCATCGATTGAACCCACTTTAGCCATTTTTTTGAAAAATTTTTGGAAATTTTGATTTCGCTTTTCATATTTATTGGAACAGATATCGTGACGGCGATTTCGGATTTGTAATTGGCGGAAGATTATCTACAATTTAGCACCAATTTTCAGTGGACGGAGCCAATTTTAACCATTTTTTTGGAAAATTTTGGAATCATATGTTACTTTTATTTCAGTAGGTGTCGTGAAGGCAATTTCGGATCTTAACTGGTAGAAGATTATCTACAATTTGACACCAATTTTCGGTCGGTTGAACCGATTTTAACCATTTTTTTGGAAAATTTTGGAATCAAATTTTACCTTTATTTGAATAGATGTCGTGAAGACGATTTGGGATTTGCAATTGACGGAAGAGTTTCTACAATTTGACACTAGTTTTCGGGCGATCGAACCAGTTTTAACCAGTTTTTTTTTGGAAAATTTTTGAAAAATCGAAAAATAAAGGGGGGCAGATGTATTCGCATTTTTCTCTGCTAATTCAAGAGATACTTAGAAAATAATCACAGATTCATAATTCTGATAAACTTTCTGACTAGTTAGACACCTTTCAGACCCATTTTAAAAATTTGAAAAAACATCGTGATAGAAAAAACTCATGACTCATGACTATTTTTTTTTATTCGAACTTCACCTCTCCTGTCCCACTCCGCCCTCTTTGCTCCTCGACAACTGCCTCCCTTTCACCTGCTGCTCCGCTTTCCTCTCCGCAACCCGCTCCTTCGCCTTCCTCAGGAACCGAAGAACCGAAAGAAGCTGAACCAGCGGATTCGGCCTCCTGGACCCCTCGTGCAAATACTCATAAACGTGTCGATTCCCATGACTCTGGGCCACCTTCTCTGGAGTCCGATTCGTCTGGTCCACAACGTCCGCTCTCGCCCCATTCGTCACCAGGAAGATCGCGAGCTCCAGAAACCCCGTCATAGCCACAAAGTGGAGGCAATTCCGACCCGTCCGCTCATCCACCAGGTTCACGTCGACGCCGTTGTCGAGAAGAAGCGCCACGAAGTGGATCTGCTCCATGGTGTGGCAGTGGAGGACGGTCTCTGAATGGTCGTTATTTCGGCTGACTTGGGGCTACACTCACCGAAAAAAATGTGGAGAATCCTCTGCGACTCCAGAGTCATGTCGACGCCGTAGCGCAGCAGCGTTTCCGCGATGTGGAGGTCCTCGACGCGGGTGATGGCCACGGAGAGCGGGCTCTCCTGGAAGACGTCCCAGACGTTGGGGGAAGCGCCGGCTTTGAGGAGCGTGACCACGAGTTTGTCGTATTGGCGTAACACGGCGATGTGCAAGGGGGTGCGGCCTAAGATATCCCGGAGGTTGATGTCGACGCCGTTGTTCAGCAACAATAATAAGAAGCTTCGGCAGTTGAAGAGGCAGGTCAGGTGTAGGGGGGTGTAGCCGGCGAAGGTCTTCACGTTCAAGTCTGGTGTGCTGTGCTGGAGGACGTGGAGCCCTAAGTCGGCGTCGTTGCGTTCGGCCAACATGTGGAGTGGCGACACTCCGACTTCTCTGTTCACGAACGACGGCCGCGCCCCCTTTTCCAAGCACCGGTAGATTTCAGGCACGTTCTGCGTTTGCACAGCCACGAAAAACTTGTCTTGGAGGCGCTGTTTCTCCACCCGAGACAAGCGCTTTTGGTTGACACTGGGGCTCGCTGAAGAGGAAAATCGCTAAGTGTGGAATGTCGAATGTAGACTTACGTTTTAAGTCGGGGGGAGATTTCCTGACACCAGACATTTTCAAATTAGTGACATTTCGCGCCACTTTTCACACTAACCTAGGGACTTTCACGCTCCCACGTCCCGTCACTCTCTTGACGGATACCTAACCGAGTAATATTTATCCAAAATTTCGAACCCAGGGCTGTCTTTCCCCAAATATGTGATTACCAGACCTTCGATGGCGACTCCGGAAAATGAGGGCAGCTTAAATCACTACCCCGTTGAGGAAATCGAGTACAACGAAATCGAACGGCTCGAGGTAACATTACATAAAAACCCCTTCAAGATCGCGACCGGAGCCCCTCGTGTTGCAGGCCGTGGGCGAAGGCAGCTTCGGAGTCGTTTACAAGGGAATCTGGCGCGACGCCTACGTGGCAGTAAAAAACATCGTCTCCGAGAACGACAAAGAGGCCTTCATCGTCGAGGTGCGCCAGCTGTCTCGGGTCAAGCATGAGAACATCGTCAAGCTGTACGGGGCGTGCACCAAGCCCCCCAACATCTGCCTCGTCATGGAGTACGCCGAGGGAGGCTCTCTCTTCAACATCCTGCACCACGCGCCCAACGTGCACTACACGATGGCCAACGCCATGGCCTGGTTGCACCAGTGCGCCAAAGTAACCCCATTCCGTCCCCCAATACCCCTTTCTATTATTTGTCTCGTAGGGCGTCGAGTACCTGCACGGAATGAAGCCCAAAGCGCTGATTCACCGGGACTTGAAACCCCCCAATTTGTTGTTAATCAACGGCGGGACGTTGCTGAAAATATGCGACTTTGGGACGGCGGTGGACAAGACTGCGATCATGACCAACAACAAGGGGTCCGCGGCCTGGATGGCCCCAGAGGTATTAGTGTCTTTGATTACTCACAAGTTATAATAACGGAGTTTCAAGGTGTTCGAAACGTCCAACTACACAGAAAAGTGCGACGTTTTTAGTTGGGGCATAATTCTGTGGGAGGTTGTCTCAAGGCTTAAACCGTTCTTTCACATCAAAGAGTCGGGGTATCCGTCGGCTTTTATGATCCTGTGGGCCAAGCACAACGGGGCGAGGCCCCCCTTGATCCGAAATTGCCCCCCTCCAATTGAGAAACTGATGACACAGTGTTGGGATCAACAAGCGGCCAACAGGCCCAGCATGGAACAGGTAACTCACATTTAACTCAATATTTATGCGTTTTTTTGTAGCTTTCACAAGACGTCGTAGTGTAAAGGTGAGTACTTCAGGGGGCTGCTTTGACGTAAGTGAGGTTAGGTTAGTTTTGGTGGATATTTGTTGTTAAAACAACACAAACGGTGTAACTATTATGAAAGTGATAGAAATTGGCTTGAGTTGTAGTGTATTTTAGGCTTTTTTGGCCAAAATTGGAAATTGTAAAAAGTGAGGTTATGTAGTTGTTTCGGTTTTTTGTTGAACATGTTGTGCAGCGATTCTTACGAAAGTACAAATCAATTAAAATTGACTGTCTTGGCCGGTGTGGGGAGCACTGTGCCATTTTTTTACGATGTAATACGAAAATGAGTGTTTCAAGAAATTGAGGTTATGTCATCACTATTATGAAAAAACCAAAAACCAAACGAGTAAAATATTATTGGAACGAGTGAAAAACTCAACAAAACTCAACATTTGCAACTTGTACGACTGTTTGCATTATTTTCTGAACATTGTTGGAAAATGAGGTTATGTTCACTCGATTTTTTTAATTTGATTGTTTTTCGACATAACGAAAATAAACCTGGTTTAAATTATCGTCGGATCTTAAAACAATTTAAATTGTTGGTTTTCGTTACCGTGGGGGTCGTTTTTGCCCCTATAATCGTCGAAAATGATTTTGCAACAAGTGAGGTTAGGTTGAATTTTTCTATCCAGAGTGGTTAAAATCGCCCCAAATTGCTACGATTCGACGTGGTCCACCAACAAGTTCGCTCTGCGTGCGTTTTCTTCGCACTGAATGAGTATTTAAAAAGTGAGGTTATGTGACAAAAATCTGCTTTTCAGATCGTGAAGAAAATGGAGGTGATCTGCTCGTTGTTGCCGGGCGCCGAGGAGCCCCTGCAGATCATCGACGGCGACGAGGTAATCTACGAGATGGAAGAGTACGAGGTGTACCCCGACGAGGTGGATCAGTTTCCTGCTAGCACGAACGGCGACAACGGGGTGACCTCCTTGCCGCAGCCTACCTCCGACATGCTGCTGCCCCTCAGCGTGGAGGTCGAGCCGGTACGTGTCGCTTCTTCGCAAAAATAAATAAATAAAAAAGTGGGGTTATGTCACTTGCGTGACGCAACAGCCTTTTTTTAGCGCGCCGTGATGCATTCGGTGATTGTCTTTGATTGATTGCTCCCGTTTGGTTGCAGAACCCGTGGGAACTGAAAGATTGCGACATGCAGCTCCGGACCATGCCCGGCTTCGACAAGATGGTGCCAAAGCACGGTAGGAGCCCGATCACAATCGCATTTAAATATAGTGCTCGGGAGAGCATTGGCTTCTTCTCGCATGAGTCAGGCGGTCTTCGAAAAAAACACGCATATATTACGGGTCAGGTGTTGGGGCTATAATTTTTATTTGTCGCAGCGTTAGTCACACGCGCTATTTCGTCGAATAAAAATAAGATCAAAGCCGAGTCGAGTCGGCTTGTCTGCACGGCTTCGCCGCGGTATTTTTATCACTTTGTGACCTTAAAATTCGCTCGGGTCCGGCGCTTTAGGCTCCATTTGGCCGAAATTCGGTTTACTCCCCCTAGATACGTGCGCTGCGCCGGTTGTGAAGCGGCGAAACGAAGGGGCATCTGTTTTTAGAAGCGGTGACTCAGCCAGACGGATTTAGACGAGTTTGTTTAGTTGGAAGTTTCTTGATCGCCTGGAGGCAGGGACGGACGCGGCTAAAATTGGCCGCCGGCCTCGGACGGGACGGCTGATTGATGGGCGAGTGCGAGCGACGAAAGCCGCGACGTCGTCGAAGTCGTGATTAAGTCGAAGTAAGCGGTTCGGTAGTTGCGACGATCGGCGAGCGGCCCCGGTCCGCCTCTGCTGGAGCCCACTCTGCCTTCTCCGTATCGCTATTTCAGTCGCACCCATGCGATTGTGCGTCCCGATGCCAGTTCCTCTCCAGCGGCTGCTAGTCTCGGGTACAGCTTGCAGTTTTTCGAGTGGCCCCCGAACATAAACAAACGCATCGTCCGCCAGCATGTTTCTCGGCGTCTGAGAGCCCTCGGAATTCCACGCACACATTTTCGCACAAAAAAAATTCAATAACACAGAGGTCGAAGAGAAAAATGTGCGACTGTCCGACGGCCAGCGTGTTCACCACGCACGAGACCCACCGAAGCTGGATCATATTCAAAGAGTGCAAGACTGAAAACGGTAAAGATTTCGCTTTTGTGTTTTATATTTACATAATAACCAACCCGGACAAGATCAAAAATAAGTTCGGCCACAATCTTCTTAGTCACGTTTTTATTTTTGAAAGGACGGACGTGCAATTAATCGAGTGATGTAATGTCGTGGAAGCGGCACTCCGGAAGTGCAGCCGAGGCGGACGGACACCTGGACGATGGAACGGAAAGACAGTAATTACCATCCCCCTTGATACGTCCCTTGCTAATCGTAGGGTGCATGTTTGTGTGAAATTCCTCTGTGAGTAAGCGTTTTCGGTTTGCGTTTCTTTGTTTGTTTTTCTGGGGAGATCAGGTGCGCGTTTTGCGGGCCGAGGCCCGAATCGAAGGAGTTCATAAACACGGAACTTTTTGCGGGATGACGGGACGAAGGTCTTCTATTTTTTCGTTGAGTTATTCACGAGAGTGTCGGGTGATTTTAGCAAAAGATGAATGGGTGAGAGGTTCGGCCGGCGATAGGTCGACGCTAACGAAAATAACAATGGAAGAAGTGATGCGGGAGTCGTATTTCGAGGGGAAAATTTATGAAGGCCGGCTCGGCTTAATCATTCACAGGAGTATTTCCGGTGTACGTAAGGGTTTTAATTAATAAAGACGGCGCACGTGGTGTTTGGTCGAGGGAAACGACGGGAACCTTTACGTGGACGCAAAAATTGGAAATTTATATTTTAAATATTCCTCAAACTTTCATCATCTGACAGTTTTTGGTGTTACCAGATTTTTCCAGAAATGTCGAAATAGGGTGTCCTTATTTCTCGTGTAGCAGGGATTTTCTGCGATAGTTAACAACGCACAATTTTGAACTGTCTTATTTTAAGGCACATAAACATGTGACTCTTATTTTCAAAGAAATTTGTGTACCCGGAATTGTTCTAAAGAAAAAATACATTAATGCGAGCGCAGCGAGCACGTTTAGGAATTATTAAACATTAGTTACTATATCGTGTCCCCGTGAAGCTAAACTATTTTTAGATGACATTTTCTAACGATTTAGGATTTTTTCCTGGTTCATTGACAGTCTCCCTATAAATTTTACTTATTCAAAAATTATTGTTGATTACTATTCGTGCTTGCAGCTACCGCATTGTGAACGTCCTTTTTTACTTAATTTGTTCTCTTAAAAGTGTTCACGTCGTTGTGAAACTGCTTGGATCTAATTTATTAAAAAAAAAAAAACTGCTATAATGCGAGCGCAGCGAGTTTGTTCAGGTTTTTCTAAGCCCATCAACTTCAGTGTACTTGATATTCACCTTTTATAAGCAAGAAAAAATCTTTGTACTTATACCGGGTGTCTGAAAAATGGCGAATTAAACTCTCCGCTACGCTCTTAACAATCAACTGGTAAGTCTGGGAAAAATTGTAAAAAAATCTTTTGAACTTTTAGTGTTTTATCTTTTATGAATTCGAAAAAGTCTTGAGTGCCGCGGTTTTTTTTTTTTTTTTTTTCTGGAAACTCTTGGGTACCCATGGTGTCGCCCATTGAAATTTTTTTGTAAATTATTAAAAACAATTTTGGGGGACTTTGATGTTGTGTTCTATTTTTGGAAAATTCTAACCTGACCTGTTTTTGAGTTAATTTTAGGACTTTTTTTTCTTTTTGGAAAATTTAAAACTATCTTGAGATTCTAGTTACTGCTATCAGGCGCTGATATAGGATTTCGTTTGTGGGGGGGGGGGTAATCTCCCAGAAATTCGTTTTAAACAAAAAAATTTATAAAATTTTAGCTAGTATATTCTTTTTCACATAACATGGGTGACATTTGGTTTTTTTCATTGCACGTATAGTGTACAGTAGAACCTCGATAATCCTAATTAATTGGGAAAAAGGTGTGTTCGGATTAACGTTAACGATTTGTTCGGATCAGCGATGTTCCCAAAAATTTGAAAGGGAAATGAATAACAACTGAAAACAAACTTCAAGAAATAAACCTAAATTTTATTAAATAAAATTAAAGGATTCTTAAGCAACAATGGATTCTAAAAAAATGTTAACATTCTAAAAAAATATTACTCCGTGACCATAAACACGCCATCTTTTTGAAATCAGCACCCCGGGATCTATACCCTGAATTTTTTCAGAATTTTTAGACGAATTTTTCAAAAATGAAATTTTCCATTATGTATTCGTATTACCCCCATTATGCAAATTTCGGCCCATGCTCGACGATTTTCGAAATTTAACTAAATATATTTTCTTGTAGGTTTTGGGCCTCAGAAGTTACTTCTGGCTTCATTTCTTCGATAACTTAAACCATTTTTCCAGAATCGTCCAGTTGAAATATCGCAATTTTAAAAAATTTCGAAAAATTTAAATTTCACAGCGAATTTTCCGAAAATATTGCTCCGTTACCATAAACATGGTATATTTTTGGAATCAGCACGTCGGGATATATATCCCTGAATTTTTTAAGAATTTTTAGGAAACTTTCAAAATGAAATTTTTCTCGTGCAAATTTCGACCCATTTTCGACGATTTTCGAAATTTAACCAAATACTTTCTCTTGTAGATTTCCGGTCTCATTTCTCCGATAACTTCATCCTTTTTTCCAGAGTTAGTTAATTAATTCAGTGCATTGAAATATAGCAATTTTTAAACATTTCAAAATATTCCATACAACATAACAGAAAGATCTTGCGTCATTTTTCGAAGTACATAGATGCATGTTTTCAAGTTCAGTTCGGATTGTAGAGTTTTTGTTCGGATTAAAGAGGCATCGACTCCAAATAGCCTCTGTTGGGATTACTGGATGTTCAGATAATCGTGAATTCGGATTAAAGAGGTTGTACTGTATCTACAAAATGAAATGCGATTTCAAAATTTTGAAATTGGTCAAAATAATAAAGAACCTCGGTCGTGTGTCAGGGGGGAACAATTGCACCCATTGCCCCCCCCCCTGGATCCGCGCCTGACTGATATTTAGAAAGAATTTGAAAGGGCTTTTCTAGTATCATTTCTTATAATAATTTATTTAAATTTCTCAGACAATATGTCATTTGTCAAAATCGCGCTTATTTTACTACTAGCCCCGCCCACCCGCCCTCTATTTTCTTAGAGGGATCTCATTAGCCAAAATCAAGTCTTATCTTAGCAAGTGTTAGCCCTCTAACAAAATAAAGGGTAGGTGGACCTGCTAAGTTAAGAGTAATTTTGGCAGATCAGATACCCTCTAAGCAAAGAGAGGGTGGGTGGGCGGGGCTAGAATCTGCTAAGATAAGAGTAATTTTAGCAGATGAGATACCCTCTAAGAAAAGAGAGGGTATCTCATTTGCCAAAATTATTCTTATCTTAACAGGTACTAGCCCCACCCACCCACCCTCTCTTTTCTTAGAAGGTATCTCATCTGCCAAAATTACTCTTACCTTAGCAGGTATTAGCCCCGCCCACCCACCCTCTGTTTTCTTAGAAGATATCTCATCTACCAAAATTACTCTTATCTTAGCAGGTACTAACTAGCAAGTGTTAGCCCTCTAACAAAATAAAGGGTAGGTGGATCTGCTAAGTCAAGAGTAATTTTGGCAGATGAGATACCCTCTAAGAAAAGAGAGGGTGGGTGGGCGGGGCTAGTATCTGCTAAGATAAGAGTAATTTTAGCAGATGAGATAGCTTCTAAGAAAAGAGAGGGTGGGTGGGCGGGGCTAGTATCTGCTAAGATAAGAGTAATTTTGGCAGATCAGATACCCTCTAAGCAAAGAGAGGGTGGGTGGGCGGGGCTAGAATCTGCTAAGATAAGAGTAATTTTAGCAGATGAGATACCCTCTAAGAAAAGAGAGGGTATCTCATTTGCCAAAATTATTCTTATCTTAACAGGTACTAGCCCCACCCACCCACCCTCTCTTTTCTTAGAAGGTATCTCATCTGCCAAAATTACTCTTACCTTAGCAGGTATTAGCCCCGCCCACCCACCCTCTGTTTTCTTAGAAGATATCTCATCTACCAAAATTACTCTTATCTTAGCAGGTACTAACTAGCAAGTGTTAGCCCTCTAACAAAATAAAGGGTAGGTGGATCTGCTAAGTCAAGAGTAATTTTGGCAGATGA